TCAAGCTAACTAAATGGAAATGTGAGCAGAAACCTCAACAGCATCTTGTGCTGCATTCACTGGAAACCGCGGTGATTTTTGCACTAACACCTGTGTCATTGTTGATTTACTGATTGGTAGGCATGCAGTTCAGATCAAAGCAGCTGTTTGTGGGGAGGAGACTTAAAACAGCTGTGAAATGTTGGGGGTCCAGAAAAAACAGGGTTTACAAAATGAGCTGCTCCAAACAATGTATAGATGTGAACACACTAGTTTTATCCTGCTGAGGTTTAAAAATTCCAATCTTTTATCCAGTCTTTCAAATATTTAAAACTATTTTTCATGCACCCCTTTCTCCCTGCCCTCCTCATGTACTTTTGCTACACAGGCTACCTGTGGAGAGTGTCTTGATTGCACAAACTTCAATCTTTGCCAGATTTCATTGATACGTATCAGCGTTGAAATTCGGGTTGTTAAAAAGCTCTGAATTGTTAGAACTTTGTCTGTTCATCATTTTAAATTGTTGTCTGCTTTTTGTGGTATCGTTCAGGCTTATTTTACACTGATCACCTGAGCCAAGCATCTCTGTTTTAACTGAAAGAAACAATAAAGCCGTAGATGATTTTCCTACAAAAACCACATGGGGTTTGTGCTGTCTGTCTGGAAATAGTTATAGTTATTTTTTGCAGAATCTTGCTGCATGCTATAGCGGTCTATTGATACCTACAGGTGATAGCTCTGAAAGGTAAGCGGTCCTCTTTTTTTCTCTTTTCTTCTTCGTAGCAAATGATGCAATAAAAAATTGAACTTGCATTACCAGACTGTTTGCGCAATTCAGCCTTAATCAAACATAACTGACACTCAACTATGAGCATGACTGACGTGACTGTCACCCTGACAATTCACAGAATAAATGTTTCACTTCTCCCCTCAAATTTACCTTTCCGAAAATAATCCAGCTCTATTTGCCCTAAAGATGCACCCAAATACATTCTACTCTTTTATACCACAGAACCTTGTATATAAAAAGGCCACTACAAAGACAAGAAGAGAAATAATACAGGACCTCCTTTCAAATGACCCTTGAAATAAATACCAACAAGTCTAGCCTCTAGAAAAGAAGGAAAAAAAAAAAAAAGGACAAGCACCAAGATGCTGGGCTTGTAGAAAAATGAAAAATGAAGATGAAGTTACTGTCACCATTAAATGACTTTATATCCCTTATGAACACAATTTTGTTCCAGAAACAATGTTTTATTTTTTTCCAAAGCAACAATGCATAAACAAGATACCACATTGGACTAATATAAAACCACTGGATAGAATCAGAGCTGACAGTTCATTTACTGACATCACTGTGGTAGCTTTCAAAGATGATGGTTAGCCACTTTGCAATTCTGTTGATTGATAATTAAATCTTGAGATGGATGCATTTGAATTTTTTGTTAATTTCCTCTTGCAAACAAAAATATTCTTTGGTAATGAAAAAAATGAACATTTATGCAATTTAAGCAATGAAAATTTGAAATTTGTTACCAGCTAATTACTTGTTATTAGAACAAAATTAGAAAAACTCTTTTTTGCTTGAAAACAGAAAACATTGATCTATGAAAACTTGAGAAGCTTGCGTTAAAAAACCCTAACATGGTTTGGTCTTTTGGTTTTTCTATTTAAACTGATTCATTATAAAACTCATCAATACTTAACTATAGATTATTACAAAACAAACATGATCCATCAGAAGGAAATGTAATGTGCAGAGTCTGGAGTAAATTTATTGAAATATCTTTCTCCTGCTTTCTACAAGCCCCAAATCAAAGAATTGTTTGGTAACAAGAAATCAAGTTTACTTTTCAAACTGCATGTTAACCTGATGCCAGATGTGGTTAACATGTAAGTTCTCCCTACAGTATTCATACATTATCTAGCAAATAGGTGTGGAGAACACTCAAATTTATTGTTTAGAGGTTGTTATCTTGATCAAATACCAAATTCTTGTAGCTAATTAACAAAGAAATGTGTAGCAGCTAGAGGAAAAATTAAAAATCAGATCTTGGGAGTTAAAGGGTTAAGAGCAAAGAATCATGGTTTTGTTGGAGAATTTTTGTTTTGTGACTATATTATCATCAGTGGACTGTTCAAAATTAACATGAAATAGAAATCTTTTCTGTTAGTTTTACAGCTAAATTAACTAAAGTCAATTTTTAAATGCAAACATTTTGGCATATTCATTTCTTCACAAATTCTGACCAATAAGTTTAAGGTGTTCAAGTCCAAAATGATCATCTCTATCTGCAAAAAGTCATCTGCTGTAAACATCTTGCTGCAACTCATACAGCAAGCTAGTCTACAATCTTCTGTAACTTAATGATAGTGTCACACCGAAGCTGATTTAAACCATGAAATGCTCTCCTTTCACAATAAAAGGATTTTTCTTCAAGGTTTCCATGTTGCACCAGTCTCAGCTATCAGATTTTTCTATGTCTGCAAGAGAATCCAAGTATCGACTAAGTCCATTGCTAAGAGAATCATATGCTTTTTCAGGTTTATTCACTTTGTTTACAAACTGAATTTAAGTTTAAGGGCCATGTATATGAATGTCACTATTTATTGCTGTAAGAGAAGGGTGAAACATAGGATTAAAGATGTACTGCACAGCACACAATCCATTACTGTTGATGAAATGGAGACAGATCTAAATACATATTCTTTTCTTACTTGCTTAAAAAAAAAGGGAGAGAAGGGAAGATACAGAAAACAGGAGATGTGGTGCCATTTTCGCAATATAAATCAAAGGCACAGTTACCCAGAAGGGCTATGAAAAGGATCATGCCAGTAGTGGTGCTGGAAGACCTGGATGAGTATTTAGAATGGCTAGGTTGATTTGCACCTGTATAAAGAACAGAATATTTTTGGTATAGTTATTTGAATTACATTAATATCTTTCTTATGACATGTTTGGTAGAGTCAGCAGAAGTAGTATTAGCCTTGAATTAGAAGAAATGGTAATTAAAGTCCATTAGTGGAGTTCAGTTTGGTTTGCAATCATGTGAGTGATTACAAAATTGGACAACCCTGAAGCAAGAGTCTGATTCATCAATCACAAGTATGATAACAGACCCGATTGGACCTGTCACCAATTGATTATAATCGTTACATGTACCTTGACAATTCCCAAAAAACGAAAAAATAAATAAATAGGGGCTTTCTATATAAAATATTCACAATAAAATGCCATTATAATGGCGTCTTATAGAGTATATTCACTTTTTCTTTTTGTGGGTCAATCCACCCTGAAGGAGTATACAAAGCTCTAGTTCATTAGCTTTAATAGTACTTATTTAAAATTCACTACCGGGTGATATTTCTGGAAAATTCGGAAGGTCGAAATTTGGATAAACTGCAATTGACGGAAAAATCGCGAAACTTAGACCTATCATCATAAGCAGCAGTTTGGTTAAGCTCAGTCAGATAGAAAAAAATAAAACCCAATGATTAACCAAGAAGCTTGAGATACAAGGATAACCGCAGTTAGAGAATATAGATTAGTGCGTACTACGCATGACCAACTGTAAAAAACCTTGGCTGACATGACTACAAAGTAATAAGCTTTATATTTAAGACTTCTTTTTGGGAGTCAGTCTCTTTAACCTTATTCAAACCAGCTACATGAAGGAATAACGACATGAGGGGGTCGTTGCGTCGCGATGTAAATTAATTGGATAAACTTGTTGACATAATCACATAACATAAGAGTCATCCTCTGTTGGTGATGACAACATATAAAATAAAAATGGAAAAGAAAAAATTGACGATTTCATTATGTCGTTATCAGGGATTTCTGTTGTTATATTGTTATGCAACATGTTACGTGGGTTAACTTCTGTAGATCAACGGTATCGAAGTGAGCCTGTAACCTGAAAAATTTGGTGACAAACAAAAGCCCTGAGCTGTCAACATACTTTCATACTTCGCTTTTCCGTCTCCAAAGGGAAATTCATCAATCCAGTGACACTCTCTCCGTATACATCTGGCTTTCCTTTCAAACAGTCAATGTCCGAGTCGCAACTTGCTGGTTTAGCTTAAAAAATCAAAGACATTTAGATATACGAATAGCTTTTTGGATAACGTCTGCCGGCCAAACTCCAATTTCGTACCCCTAGCAAGTAAGCTACTTACTCTCTGTGCTGTTTTAGAAAATCTGTAACTAGAAAGGCTTTAATCTATTTCAAGCTAATGTTAATTTTCCTTCGCAACAATGCGAATAAGAGTTTCACAAAATGTTCCATACAGTAACCTTTAACATGTTGGCAGCGAAAGGGGGGGGAAGGAGTCTCAGTAGGGAGGAGAGGAGGCAGATTGTGTCTCTTGTGGTACCGCCATTTTGAAAACCGACCGAGAGACCCCTGGGGACGAGGTTAAGCTGTCGTAAGCTTTTCATAAGAAAATTGCAAAATTTTCCTACGCGGATGGTCGAGCGCGGTTAAGAATATTCCTTAGATATGAAGAGCCTTCTTCAGTGGATCATTTTAGCCTTAATTTGGACAGCACTTCCCACATCGATTTGTGAGTAAATTTTTTCTTGAGGTTGGTCGCAACTTACTATGCCTCAACATCTTCGTGTTAAACCAATTTTCCTCTGAAACTGATGTTGGGTTTATTTCTTATTCCTATACTAAATGCACTGGAAACACTTCCTTCTTTTCTTAACCTGAATTGAATTGGGTGAAAACAATTTTCACGGCTTATTTGTATACGAATTAAAACCGAGCCATTCACCATTTTACGTAAAAAGATTGATACTTTACTAAACAAGTTTTAGAACAATGAGACCCCACCGAAAACAAGATGACTTTAATTTATTTCATGCAATTCTAGACAACAGCTATTGTGAGAATACGTAGCCTACAGCTGGTTGTTATTGTTATATTAAAGCGTTTTCGTTCAAATATACCAGACAGAGGTTCAATGTTTTGTTCAAGTCTTGCAATACTGTCCGGTTTCATTCTTTGTTTTCAGCCTTGTCAGTTTACTACCCTAACCTTGCGATAAACCAGGCAACAGAACAGTCAAGTACTGCTTCGGACGGAGACAGTAATCATGGCGTAGACGCTGGCTTGGGAATCAAATTTGAATGGAAGAAATGTGTTAAAACTCAAGTTGAAGATAATCCATGGTGGAAGGTGGATCTGGGAGGAATCTACCAAATTGAAGCTGCAACTATCACCAACATATATGAGAGTTGTTGTAATGATAAGCTACAACAAGTTGATTTAACAGTTGGTAGGTTGTAAAACTCACTGAATAGAGAATTTTTTATGGAAGTTTAAGGTGCAAACATTTGCATTATATCTTAATTTTGTTGGAATAGTCTCACAAATATACTGTAACCACACCAACTCCCTATGATAACTTCCACAACATCCTAAGATTTAGCACGCTCAGTTATTATGGAATAGGACAAAATGAAACTCTAAGGTGTGGCAATGTTTTACATTCCTACCTGGATTCCTGGAATAAATTAAGAAACATGGCAATCTGTATTTGTTCAACAAGCTTCACCTCAATTACAGTTCTTTCTTTGCTACTGGGTGATTTTTGGCCAGTTTTGGCAAGAGCAGTTTGAGAGGAGCATTGAAAACAATCGGGTGAGCCAGAGAAAGTGGGAGGGAATGCTGCTCTAAAATTGAGGTCCACTACATGGCTCAGTGATTTTTGTACCAGAGGAAAACCTGCATGTGTTCTGCAAAGTAACAAGTTAACAACGACGAATAAGAGAAAATATCAATAAAATTTGTATGTCTCTGAGGCATAGGAGTTCCTATAGCTAAGGTTGACAGTTTTCAACCGAGCTTGAAAATACAGTCTGCTGTAGTCTTTGACTGTAATAGTTACTAAACTAATGATGCTGAGACATGGCTAGAATTTTTTTGTTAGACTATACACTGGCCAGATCAAAGATCAGGATACAACCTATCTTCTATTGAGACTTGGTTTAACAGTTGTCTCACTTTTGTTTTACTGCTTCCTTTTGATACAGAAACATTCCATAAATAGTTATAGAGTTTCCACTTTTCTGAGTTAACCCAACTCTTGGTCAGTAAAGCTGCTATGTAGAAATAAGAGGCTAGCAGTGCCATAATGGTTTATATGCTGACCTTAATGGCTGAAAAGCACTCTTGTCAGGTCACCGTGTAGTTTTCTGAGGCAGGGTCCTTAATTCTCACAGTACCTCTCTTAGTATAGGAGTGTAAAGAGGTTTTGATGAACTGCAAGGGATCAAATCTGTGAAAGTAGAAATATTTCTGGTTGCTTTGTGCTACATGGGGAGATAAGCTCTGGTAAAATGGGCCCGCAGCTGGCCTAGAGACTGAGTTTTTATAAATCATCACAAACCTTAATTGTTTACAAATCTCTTTTTACTCTCACAGCCTTCCACGAGGATGATCCCATTGATGCACAACAAGTTTGCCACCAAAATTTAACCTATCTGTCTAGGGGACGAGTAACAGTCCGCTGTAACCAACAGCCCTTTGGTAGATATTTCTTTGTCTCCATTCCCAAGACTCAGTGGGAAATGTCTTTCTGTGAAGTTGAAGTTTATCCAAGTAAGTTCAATAGCATGTATCCAGTTTCCTTTTGTAAAATATCCTATTCCTCCCTATACTTGTGTAGTGTTATATCAATAATGAAGGTTAAAAAAATGTTGATTTGGTTATATTGCTGCAACAATGACATTCTTGTAAAATTTTACATTAATTCAAAACACTGAAGAGATCTACTGTTTCATCAGTAACTGTTAGATAATGGAAATTTTCTGTTATAAAAACTGATTTCAGTGTCTGAATTTGGGAAGTACATTTAATAATTTTGAATAGACTCATTTTTAAGATGTAAACAACTTATGGCCTCATAGAAACATCTTACATACGACAATTCATAACATAACAAAGGAAGTTACAACTTAACAACCTAACCTCACTAACAGGTCAAAAGAGCACGAAAGAAGTGTAGGGAGAAACACGAGATGTAGTCAAGTGTTTCTTCCCACTTCTTGAGTGCTCTAGCTGCTTCCAAAGTGCTTTATAACAGAGCAGAGCACAGTCAAGGCTTCTCTATTTGTTTTATTATAAAGAATCCATTAAATTACCCAAGCATTACTTTCAATTTTCAAAACAAACTTTATTTCCAAAGCGAACAACAATGTCATCAGCATGCTCTATACTCTCACAAAGCACGCTACAATAAGCCAATCAGAATCCTTGTTAGAATGGTTCAAATAATCTGATCGGCTGTACAAGACTAAAGCTGTCAAAAGTGTCAAACCATCAAAGTTCACATTCAACGATAGTTTACAAACTAAAATAGTTCTGCAAGTTGAATTTAACTCTTTTGCCTGAAGTCTTTTTTGAATGAACGACAGCCGAATTCACCGCACCATGAAGATCGCTCGTGATGACAGTGTCACAAAACTCGGCTGCAGTGACTGATGTGAATTGCCACTCAACGTATCGGGAAGGATATCAAAGCAAGCTCTTATTTTTTCACTCAAAGGGCGGCCAATGTAGTTTCTGAGGCTTGCTTTACTGTGATGACCAGAGATTACCATGATGAGCGAGCAGCGATGAACTTCAGCATGATCATATTCACTCAGACACTGTCATGATTTGTATGAATTTTAACAATTATGCCAGTTTGGTTATATTTTTCATCATTTCTGTTTTGTTCTGTTTTTTTTTTTTTGGAACACTGAATTTTATATACTATATGAGTGTTAGCAGCGTTTGATTTTTATTACTGTATGTAAGCTTGCAATCTAACTGAGGGTGAAAATTTTTAAAACACGAAATGTTTATTTTGTTTTTCCTTTGAGGATTTTTGTATCTGCTCACGTTTTCATAACATAAATTATGGCGCCTGGTATGTTTACAAACCTTTGTTTGATTCTTCTGTTGCTACTTGCCGGGTTGCTTCAGTTCTGAAATTTCACTTTCAATTATCGGAAAAAAGCTAAAAAGAAGTCCTAGAAAAGCTCGAACATAGTACAATTGGCAGGTGGCGTGACAGCTATAGCTCAGCTCTATGCTCTATACTCTCATAGAGCACGCCCTTTCAACCAATGACAGCACACATTATATCCTAACTTTATTATAAAAACACATAAGCCATAAGGATAAAGTTAAAAACAAAATGGTAATTTGCAGGAAATTTGTGATCAAGAAAGCCTTGTGTTAGAGAGGTTTTGATTTCTGTGAATGTTTCAAGTTTTTGCCCATTTTGCATTAGATTTGTCTTTTCTTAGGTTTTACCTTGAAATTTTTCAAAGGAAATTGGTGTGCATCTAGCCAAAATTGGTCATGATACCTGACAACTGACTGCTGTGCTGGGGATGAGAATCTGTGGTTTCTAATTACCTGCCTATCCTACTTTTTCCATCTTTAAGCTCTATCTCCCACCTTTTACTTTGAAACAGGGCAAATTGGTCTGTGATTATATCTCTTGTAACCCTCTTGGCTTTGTATTCTTGTGTGGGTTTCTACAATTAATTTTAATTATCAATTCTACAATTAGTTTAATTATCATAATCACTTTTTGCTGCAGGGTAATTTTAAGGAGCTGTAACATTAAATTCTCAACCAATTACAGTGCACAAGTTTCTATCATCACCCGAGCAACTCTATACAGTTCTATCTTCATCAGTGACTATAATCTTATACAACTTGACTGCCAATCTAAAAAAAAAACATTGCCAAATTTTATAGAAATTCCACACAGCCTTGGGAATGAAGGCCTGTTTTATTATAACCAGACATCAAGTTGGCAAGCTTCTGACTGGGTAGCTGTGGAGAATTTTAGACTCTACATGTTCATGAAGATCACTTTGACTTCTGGTACTGATTTGGTAACTTTTGACCAGCCAGGAGACATATACCCAAACTATCCTGTACGTGTTGGAGCTCTACAGATTAATGATACTGTCTTAGCTCCATTCTCATCTGATTATTCCTTGGGAAAGGTTACAGCTGTAAAGGATTGGCTTACCGGGAGATATGAAATACAGCCAGGTAAGTTTTCTTTTAAAATGATCAGCTTGGGCTAGATTTTTTCAGAGTTGCCATCTGGCAAAAGTAACTTTTTAAAATGGTGGCTAGACCTAGATGCTTGGAGGTTACATGTTTGCATTTGATAATTCTCCATTTTATTTATAGATTCTGGTGGTGCAGCAATGAGTTTTAGTCATGCTGTTCTTCGTCACCGAGGTGAATTATTCTCTCTTTAACCCTTCAACTCCCAAATCTGATATTTTAATTCTCCCTCTCTAGCTACTACATGTTTCCTTGTAAATTAGTTACAAAAACTTGCTGCTAGATCAAGTTAGCATCTTGATCTACCGGATGAGTTTGAATATTCTTACCTGTTTGCTGAATAATGTATAGATGTTATAGGGAGAAGTTTCATGTTAATCACTTTAAGGAGTGAAAGGGTTAATACACAGTTGCAAGATGATTGCAGCACCAGAACTTAAAGTATTGATAATTTAATGCAAATTGATTAAAGTATAAAATTAATGCACTGTCAAGCAACGAATGACAAAATGCTCTAAAAATCTTGTTTTACTCCTAGAGCCCCACTAACAGTGTATATGGCTTGAACTTCTTAGTGATGGCTAGGCATAGTCTGAAACAAACTCTTGTTTTGTACAGTTGCTTACAAAAAACATCCTCCGATGCTGCTAGATGTCTGCACAGTTAAATTTTTGCTCAGCTCTTTCTCAACATTTTTTGATATTACTAACGCTAAGTCTTTCCCAGACGTAAGTGCATAAGCCATCCTTTATCTTCAGGTTATCTACCCTCCTCTTTCCTTTTTACATATGGGGCCCTATCTTTTCCCACAGATTCCTTCTTCTTCTTCTCTAAATACACAGCACAAAATTGAACATTTTCCTTAGAGCTTAAATATGGAACGATTAATATTGCTGTTTCATGGAATAGCACATCTACTTTTTATTCAACTAATATACTCTTGTTTTCTTGACACCATATTCCTACCAATAGTGGAACTCCATTTTCTGCATATAAACCCACACAAAACTCACAATTTCTCCAATTACCTTACTTTTTTTAAGCTCCTATATTTGCCCCCCTCATCCCCAATATACCTGTAAGATCTACTCTCACCCCACATGGAAGGTTCAATATCCTTTATATGTGAAGAGCATGATAGGAACAGATTTTAAAGTTTTGATATCATAATTCAGATAGACTTACATTAAGTTAAGACTTCCCATCTAAAACATTTTGCACAATGTGAAGTCTTAATTTAGTAGATTGGTTTGTTTTCCTCAATTGTTTGTCTGTTTGCCAGTCAAACCATTGATACAGGTTGTCACACCTAAATGTTGAGTGGTCTATTATTTGTTTAATTATTTTTGCTATTTTATCTTTCCAATTTTCTGTTTTGATTTCTTTTATGTTTTTCAGATGCATGCAAACTGAAGCTGCAGACTGTCTGTCCTCCAAATTCAGAATGCACAAGAGAATATATGAATGACAAGTTTCCTACATTTTACTATATTTGCAAATGCAGAAAAGGCTTTTTATCTTCTAGAGGGACTTTCATGGCAGTCTTAAATGATGACATTTTAGATGTTTGCAAGGGTTAGCCAGCTGTCTTTAAATTTTCAAATTGATAACCTTTGTGCTTCTGCAGTGTTACTGAGGCAGTGTAATGAGGCAGTTGTTATGTAATTTCTTCTGATACCATTATTGTGAAAATTTGCTGCAGGTGGCATCAATTTATCTGAGGGTAAGCCAACTAATCAGTCTAGCACATCAGGTGATGCAGTCTCATCAAGAGCAGTGGATGGTAACCTTAACCCACTGTTTTCAAGTGGCCAAAGCTGCAGTTCTACCACCAGCCAAGCTAATGCTTGGTGGCGACTAGACTTGGAGGAGGTAGTTTATGTTGCTCATATCTTCATCCAGTTTAGGAGTCGTTGCTGTGATTCACAGGCTACTCATTTTCTGATCTATGCTGGTGAGTTTTGTTGGATGAATTGTTTGTTCACACTTTCACTTTGTTCTTTCCACTTTTTTCTTTGAAAAATAACAGCAGAACGTTTTTATTTATTCAAGGTCCTCACCTGGAAGATAACTTTCCTGTGCCTGGTCAGGATTTCCTTAATTACCTTTGTAGCAATTTCACTGTGGCAAACATTTCTGATCACAAAGGCTGGCATGTACACTGTGGTAGAACTATCACTGCCAGATATCTCTACATCAGACTGTGGGAAACAAATAATTTAACACTTTGTGAAGTTTATGTATATGATGATTCTAATGGTATGTACTGTAAAAATCCATGGTGATTTGCCTCTTATGTTATGTAAGTGACTGGGATTCAGTGGGACAGGGGATCAAGTGACGTTTAGTGTTGTAATGCTCAATAAACCTCTTCTATGGGCCAAAAGCAGAGAGCTTTATAAATCTTGTTATTTATGTAATCTAATTTTTTTGTGTGAGAACAAAGTTAGAAGCAATTGAGTTTCTTTTCTTCAAAATAAAACCATCTTTCTTTACACTGTAAGTAGCATTTTATGCTGAAGTCTTAAAGAGGGTTTCTTTTCAAGATTTTATGAAGGCAATACAAATGTGGGTGAATAAATAGAAAATATGTTTTCTGACCATCTACTTTCTTGGGAATTTATATCTTTGGTAGCAAGTTGTCTTGGCTTATGCGAAAGATTCATTTTTCTTTACTTTAGAGGTGTTTTGATTTTCTTTGGTTTCTATGTACATTTGGCTGCTTACTTTATAGTTATGCAAAAAAAAAACAGCTTGAACATTACCTAATACCAACAACTTAATTTTGCAGATAATATTGCTTTAGGCCTGCCAGAATACACAGTGGCTGTGGATGGTGATTTACAAACCTGCCTTGATACTCCCCTTACTCTGGACACATTTTTGAGGATAGACCTAGTGTTTGTTAGACCTATTGCTCTTGTTCATTTAGTTAGTAGGTTAGACATGACAGATGTAGCAGTTATTGTAGGTGAGCAATGTACCATACCATAGAAGTAGTTATTTTGATTATAACTATACTATCTAAAGGAATATCTCCATTGCATGTCAATCATCTGTTTACTTGATGGGATATGTACTTTGTAAGGATAAGTTGAACTGAGTGACATGTTTAGGGAAGTTTGTAAAAAAAAAAGAAAACGTAATTTAGTGATTAGTGAGTAAACATTATTGATGGCCCTTTGCCCAAGACATAAGTGACAAAGTCTGAAACTCTTGTTGTGATGGAATTACAATGGTTATCTCTTCCCAGTTCACCGCCTCTCTATTTGGGATCAAGCCCCTCCCTATTTTTGTGGGTTGCAGCCTCTCTCTCTGCCCAGTTATGTACATACCACCTCCTTTCTTCCCCTGGATGTCTTTCCCTGCCAATCACTGTTTTCAAATCTCGTCCATATGAATAGATGTTGAACGCCTAAACTTCAATGGGCTCCTTTTACAAATTTTAACCAACACTTAAGATCTTTTGTTTTATTCTCTGCCAGGAGAGACTCTGTCAGGGGACACATGCAATTCTTCAGATGGCAATGTAATAGCAAACGTGATCAAGGAATATGTGTGTAACTCTCTACACAGAATAAGTGGTAGATATGTTTTCATCACTATTCCAAGCAAAACAGCATCGTTAAATTTGTGTGAAGTGCAAATTTATGCTGTATACGAATGTAAGTGTAATGTTTTATACTACAACGTGTAATAAGGGCGATGGGCTTGCTTATTTTGTTGACAATGACAACAGCAATGATGATGGCGCCTTTTATGATGAAGATAAGTCTTCCATAGTTTGAAATATTGGTCAAGCCAGCTTGATAAACATGGTACATTCATATGGAGCAATGATTTCACCACGGAAATTTGCTTTTGTGGGTAAACAGAAGCATGCAATCCTAATATATGTAGCCCTATCTGACTTAGTTGGGTCAGCCAACCAGATTACGGGATGCAATTCATTTAACCCTCTTTCGGAGCCAGCCATGTAATAACTCCTCGTATCATATAGCTGGCAGCGCCTGTAGGCAATATGAAGCGAATCCTGTGTTGTGATTGGCATCTCGAGCGGGCAAGCTAAGATGGAAGCCGCTTGGTCTCAAGGAAAACGATACCAGAAGTCAGTGAATTTCCTTTGTGCAAATTTTTTTTAAAAAGTTAATGAAAACCTATTAAATCACGTTATTTTTCAATTTATCAAATGAAAAATGAACACAGACCATCTTAGTTGGCATATTTTCCTATTGCTTAGATATAAACAAGCCATCCTTGATTCTTATTAATGCAATATCTTTTTGCTATAAAATTAATGCTCTGACCAAGCTTGTTCGGTCAAAGTGGCTGAATATTAGTGCCGTTTTGATTTAAACTTTGTCTCGGTCCATATAAATGCCAAAAGAAACCTCGGTGATTATTATACTCATATTTTAGTTGATTTGACAAAGACGGGGTCTGCTACACAATCCAGTACTGCCGTAATAGAAATGACTGCTGATCAGGGTGTTGACAATGACAGACTAACATGTATAGTAACAAAGGAGCAGACAGATCCATGGTGGAAAATCGACCTGGGGAGTAACTATGACGTTGAAGAAGTTGTCATCTACCCACCCAGTGAAAGCTTCATTCCTTATTCTTCTCAACTCTATCATGTTCATGTTGGTATGTGTTTTTTTTAATAGAAAATGAAAAATACTTACATAGTAATAGACGAATTTGTCATTTAATTTTGAAGCTTTAAACGTAAATGCCGCATGAAGCACCAGTCCATTTTCGTTGTTCTGACTGTATTTTATCATGATCGTTGTTTCTAGTTTCGTTCTTAAGGAAAGTCTTTATTAAGTCACCAGAGTGAAAATTACATCTAATAAAAGAAGATAGGAAAAAGTAAGAGAAATGAAAGGCAAGGCGTCGTTTAGAAAACCAATAGGAATAGAAGGCTGTTAAGCCTTAGCTGACTCTCTATATTATATGTAATTCTTTAAACTGTTAGAGGTAAGTTAGGTTTGATGAACCGCTGGCATTTACAACATGTGTACTTGAATCACTAAACTGTCATGTTTCATTACACTACAGTGTTTTCACCTAGATGTGATTCCGTCGAAAATAGAAACACATACGTCCCATTGTCGTAGTTTTGCACTGATAGTAATTTTGTCTCGTTCAAGTTCTGCAGGGCTCGTATCAGGGCTCACATCATTCAGTCAAGGGGCCTTGTGAGTCCTCAGCGGGAAATCCTGGTGAAAACACAGATTTGTAATTATTTCTCTCACCTTCTTAAATAAGCAGGAGCCCCTGCTAATTTAAGAAGGTGATAGAAACAGTTACATATCGGGGAAAGTGTTGGGAAAGTCATGCATTTGACCTGTAAGTTCAACGCAATTATTCACCTAGCAAATCTCATTTTTGAACTTGTTTAAAACGTTATCCCTACTGGTTTTTGGATAAGTAGGAAAGACTTGATATTGACTTCTGTACTAGATCAACAGCTGTGTGGAAGCGCCAGTGCAGCCAACAAAAAGTTTGTATCAGTTATCTGTTCTCCAAAATTACAAGGGAATGTCATTGTTATCAAGAATGTGGGAGCAAACAAAAGAGTTGCCCTTTGTGAAGTGGAAGTGTATTCTGAAGTGCGCGTTGCATGTAAGTTCTACATGGTAAATAAGGGGGAATAACGGACACAGGAAATTTGCAACTGAGTTTACTTTATTTTAGGAAAGGTCTCCATTATTTGAACGGAAATACCTTTTTCTTACAAATTTTATGGGTATTCTGTGGTACGAAACTGACTGCATACGTCAAGGTTTATTCCCAACAGTCTTAGCGGTCTCTAAAATGTCCAGCCAATGGCCAAACACACGGAGTTGAAAAAATTATGTCATGGGTAAAATTTTGCTGTGAGGGAGATTAAATATGAAAGAAAACTGAATTTCAATCGGCGTATTTATGAATTTATAAGAAAAACTTCTCAAAAAAATTTCGAGGGGTTCATCTCCAACCACATTTTGTCTTAAATTAAGTACTTTTGGCTTGGACTCTAAAAACCCTTCGAAAAAGGATATTTTTTAACCACTCTCAACCGTCAATAGTTGTAAACACTCGGCCTTGTTTAACCCTTTAAATCCCATGAGTGACCACGACAGAATTCCTCCTTACAGTAATAACTAGCAGAAAAGTGACGAGAATAAAGCAAGGGGATCATAAGTTGAAACAATACCAAATTCTCCAAACTAACATCGCAAGAACTGTAAGGGAGACAGTAAGGAAAATTACTAATAATATCTTGGGAGTTGCACGCGCAGTGCAGCTGATCGCGCTTTCTGAATATAGCATCTCGTGAAGGCGGACGTTTCGTGATGTTGCGATCGAGTGCTTCAGGCTTGATTGGTCACCGAATTTTCCAAGGCTTAAGGCTACGCTGCACGCACGGTTCGAGGTTTGCTAGCTTTGCTGGAGATTGAAAATCAAATTAGTTTGAAAAACGATTAAGCTGAAAAAAAATAAATGACACACATCAAGCATACCAAGCCCAACACCATTTTGTTTTCTATCTTTGAATTGTATCTTAATAGATGAACACTTGTGCCGTTCCCCATACCTTTGCAACTCAGATTATCGATGTGGTTCTGTTAATGGCTTTACAACATGTGAATGCAAAGAGGAAGGCACCTTTGTTCAAGTGTGCGTTACTGGTGAGCAAGCTATTGTCATAAACTCAGTGGTAGAAATTAGCTCCTTTAATAACTGTTGTTTTTAGAGGGATGATTGAGATGGGTCTCGCCTCATCTCAGCAAATGGATTGGTCAAAACTCATCGTTATACACCTAGACTTTCACTCAACAAAACGAGCACTGTGATTGGTTGATTCTTGATCACGTGCCCTTGATCAAATTCAAATGTATCCAGACCGGGATACAATTGCGCAGTCGTTGGAACGAGCCGAATATAATAGCATGTTTTTTCTATATGACTATTTACGGGAAAGTCTAAATATCAGACATGGTTTGATGCTGCTCTGGTTTACAGATTTAATGAATGTAACCGAAGAAGTTACAATTCATGGACCCAACGTTTCGACACTCCTGTGTGATCTAAACGCTGCAAAAAGAGGTCCTTTTTATATGATCAAAGCACTTAATGTATGGTCCCTCGGGAAACTAGTTTTGTTTTCTCTCGAGTCTTTATGTTTCCCTCGACCTCGTCTCGAGAAACATCAGGACTCTCGGGAAAACAAAACTAACTGTTTCCCTCGGGACCATACATTAAGTGTTAAATGTTCAGAGATACTGGATCCCGGTTTCTGTGACATTAACCTTAATCCAGCAAATCTCTATCCGTAATTGCCGTTAACTAAACCCATGACAAATTTTTGTTTTCACTAAGTAAAAGAATCACCTAAAAATGGAGGAGAGTTAGTGTTCGGACGTTTTGTAGTTACCCATGCTAGTTGTTAATCATTTTTTTTTCTTCTATTTTTATAATTTGTGAATATTGGTGAGTACTGTTGTTAGATAAGCTGGAGTTTTTAAGCACACTACCACTTCTGCTGTAAGCTTGTTTATTAAATTGATTTTACTTTATCAACTGGTGCAGCAACACTCGAGGTGTGGTTGGACGTGAGAAAATCATTAGTTTTTAACTCGTGAATTGCGCGCATGCGCAAGAGCGAGTTGTAGATATAATGTGGGGAATGGTATTCGCTCGCTCGCTCGATTGGTCGACTCCTGTAAACCTTTTTTCGATTTTAGGCTTTTGTGTGCATTTGATAGTTTTTGGCGAGAAATAAACAAACGAAATGGCGACCTTTGTTGCTTAGAATAGTGGTGGGGTGACAAAGAAGCCAATGATAATCTTAAAAGAGTTTTTTTTTCGTTTTAGTTTCAAAGGCAGGCATGCAAGGATTCACACTGAAATAACAGAACAACCTTCGTTTTTCATAAAATTGTAATTTGCAATCCTTGAACTTGAAAACAATCCGAAGATTCATTGAAAATATCACTTACTGCGAAGCGCTCGGAGTTTACAGATGTTCAAAAGCTTTTTCTGTTACGGCGTGAGATTAAGTACAAAATCGATCATTACGTTTCGTATCGTGTGTTTTTCCTGAAGCAACAGAAGATGCCGGCGACTAACGAAATTACAAGTTAACACGAAAATCAAATAACACCTAAACAAACAATTTTAGCTACCGATTTTCAGTGAATTTTTAAAGAATAATTTTATTTTAAGTTTCAAGACAATCTGAAGATTCAAAATACATATTACGTACTAAAATGCGAAAGTTATACACCACAAAATTGATAAATAGGCCTGAAATGAAATTCTATCTTGTTATTGATTATACGTTGCCTAGCACGTGACTAAAATCTACCCAGGCGGAGATCCAAAATGACGGTGGCAGTCTTAGCCTAGCTATATCACTCAAGACTCGTTCCCGTTTGTCTCATTTGATAAAGAGGGAATCGTGAATGTTTTCATTAAGACAGTATTGCCTTGATTTTCTAATATTTACAATGATAGACGGTAAATTTCACTTTTCACCCACATTTACTTCCAACCTTTTCTTTTGAACCAGAAACAGAAATGATATACGTTTAAAACACACGACATCATCCACCCTTGTCAAATGCAATAGCATGATCATTTCAATTGTAATGCCTTCTTATCCCAACATTACTTTGTTTCTTTGCTACATTAGCGAACACTGAACTACTGCTCGTACTCTAGATATGACAATCAACCACAAAATTCCCTAAACCAGATAACATTAAACATAATCCAAAAAATCATGCGTCAATTCACGAGTTTGCTCACAGAGCACTTTGATTCCTCGCCTTATTGGGAGATGTGAGTTGTTTTCAAAGAAGAGGGAACATATGGCTTGAAAAAACTCACGGATTGAGAGTCTAGTTCGAAGAAGATTCCTTGTTAAATAGATTTTTTATTGATAATTTCTTTGTCCTTTTTAGATTTTGATGAGTGCAAAACTGCACCTTGTCCTTCGGATCACATTTGTAACAACACTGTTGGATCATACAGATGCGAATGCCCACTGGGTTTTGTGGAAGATCCCAGTTCTCAGAATCCAGTGAATATAATATGTAATGGTAAGAAAGTTAAGCGTTTATCTAGAGGAAGGTGAAGGAAATCTGGCAAGAAATTTTGTATGGAGCTCCGTTGGTATTCTGTGTGGTTCTTCTACTTCTATAAGTATCTTTCTGATAACTGCTACCGAAGACAGTTTTGAGTGCTTTTCAGCGTCGGCCCTCCAAAGAACACCATGGAAACCTAAAGGCAAAACAAAATCGCTGTTTCATTATAAGATTTTTTTTCCTACCAGACGGTTAGGTTTCGTTATCTTCTGGTTAGTTGGCCTAAATGCCATCAAGGATTAGTGTATTGTAGCGGTTAGAGTTTGAGCGACGTTTGCGTTTTTGAAAAATAGTCAATTTATTCTGCTCAACATCGACGAATTATTACCAGAGAGACTGGGAACAGATCCAGGGTGCAATAGACGGAAATTAATCTATTGTCTTTTTCAGATGTCGACGAATGTCAGTTTCCAAGCACTTGCCGTTCAGATCTCGTCTGTAACAACACTGTTGGCTCATACAGATGTGAATGTTCGTTGGGATATGTCGAAGATCCAAGTTCTCAGAATCCAGTGAATGTAACATGCGTTGGTGAGGAACCATAAATTATTCAATGAAAGATTTCATTAGGATCTAGGGTGCATTCAAAGCAAAGGAGTCTTTTGTCCCTTTTAGATTTTGACGAGTGCCAGTCTGGAAGTGCTTGCCGTTCAGATCTTGTTTGCAACAACACTTTTGGATCATACAGATGTGAATGTGCTTTGGGTTTTGTTGAAGATCCCAGTTCTCAGAACCCCGTGAATACAGTATGTAATGGTAAGCAAGTCAAGAGTTTTCTCGAGGAAGGTCAAGGGGATCAGGGGAGGAATGTTACATGGAATTTCGTTACAGTTTACTTAGTGGTTCTTCTATCGCTATAATTATTTTCCTGATAATTGCAGCCGTAGACAATTTTAGATTCCCATCTGCGTTATGTTTGGTACCCTGTTCTCCGTCCTCTAAGGGCTGACTAGTAAAACCTAAATAATAATTCATTTGTTACAGTGTAGTTCGTTTTCCAACCAGAATTTTAGGTTTCGTTATTTCCCGGCTAGTTAGTTGAAATGCCATCAGAAATTCTTTTATTGTAGCAATCAGACTGAGTTTGGCATTCTGGGCCGGGTTGTTCAAATGGGGCAAGATAACCCAGGGTTATTGTGAAATCTGATTTCAGATTTGAAAGCTTAAAAGAAGAATCAGTATGGTTCTTCTTTTCTACAATTTGATTATTGGATGCTCCACGAAGAATCGAGAGAAATATCCGGCAAAGGCTTTAGAAGAAAGAAATAAAGAAACCCGGATTAAAACCTAACCTAGGTTTAATGCTAATAGGCCTTTGATCAACTGGGCCCAGTTCTTGAACAGAACACACCCGTTATTCATGCTGAAGATGCATGAGAAAATGACTCTTGTCATCGTGGAAGAAAAGTAGACGTTATCTTCGATAACTACTGTCCAGCCACTGATTAACACAACCGAAGGCAGGTCAGACTTAAATAATCTTTGTTTTACCTTTGTAGGCTTATCGTAGGCTGGTTTTTTTTTTCAGACGTGGATGAATGTGTGAACAGTGTAGAGTCTCTTGGCTGTAGTTCCCTCTCAAACTGTGTAAACTTCGAAGGTTCTTTCTTCTGCACTTGTAAGGAGGGATACCTAGGAGATGGAAAGACTTGCCAAGGTCAGTTGATCTCCAGATTTCGCTAAGTGCAGGGTTTTATAGGGAGATGTTGCTCGTTAATTACTAATGTAGAACGAAGAAAATTTGAAGCACTGCCATGGAGAACCTTTGAGGTTTTTAGGATTCTTGTAGGTCTGATTAAGGGCAACAAAAAAATTTTTTTAAAAGATGTTAAAACGTGGGATAAACATAAAAATTGATTCCTTGGCCAGGATTCGAACCCAAACCAGACCTTATTTTACATGTGAGATGGCTTGCCGCTCACGCTGCTCTGTCTAATACGTAATTGGATAGACACAGATGTTTGAGCTCTTGAGCTTGATTTAGGGATTGTAAAGTCATCTCACATTTCCGCGGTTCTACATCAGCCTTCGGTTGATTACTATATCAATAGTTGTGTGCAGTTATAGCTGATCTCTCCAATCAGAGGATGGTTAGATTGATGGATGGATCCAAGCTGATGATGAATTTATTCATAAATTGATTTTCCATGGAAGAAAGAGAAACGTTTTAATTTTTCACGGGCATGGGAGCGACTACTGTTCTGTACTTTTAGGCTGTACTTGTGGCAGTACTTGATCTGTTCCAGATTGCTCCAGTGATCATCTTTTGCAACTTTTTTCTATCCACAGGAAGGAGAGAGGTGTTTGAAATGGTATGCCGCAATCGCGGCGGACTGGAGTCAATGTGCGATAAAAGTGGTGATTACAAGTGTAAATGTGACAATGGGTATGTTTACGACAGCCAAACACAAACCTGTCGACAAATAGTTTAAAGTGCCAAATCCAGTTCTCCACACTGAGCCGGGCAGCGACTGAGTTCTAAAGACTGGAGTCAGTCCCTTTTACTGCTGCTTGTCATCGTTGGTGAAAGCATAAGTTTCGTAGCGTCAATTATCAACGTAATATTAGACTGCTTTGGTCCCCTTTTAGGGGAAGCTAAGTGGCTCAATATGCCACAGGTTTTGTTAAGAAGAAATTTCTTACTGCGAAGTTGATACCGCGCTCAACAGTATATACCTGACTTTAATACCTTTAAAACCAGATGCTATTGAATCAGCAGTGGAAGAGTGGTGGATATTCATGAAGCAGCTTTACGAGTTGGTAAATGTCGACAGCTTTCGCCATTGTGACACATATCACTCAAGTTGGATGACTAACATACACAACAGAACCTTATCTTTGACCATATGCCTAGTAGTACTGGTACCAAACTAGCTGAATTGTGAACGCGAAAAGCATGTTTTACTTCTGTGGTATATATTTAACTTAAATATAGCCTGGAGTAGGCTTTGTTAACGTTATTATGCATACATTTATCTCTTATTGATTGTTTGAAATTTTGACTAACATGACTCACGGTTTTTGTGGATTTTTTTTATTTTTGTGAGGTATTCCTACAGATTGAAGGCAAGTTTAAATCGTAAGGTCCTCGCATTAAAAAAGATGGCGTTTTTATTTAAATTTGGCCGTGTTTCTCGTATAACTTTTACCCTCTTTTGCGCTTTATTTGGAAAATAGATCGTCACCCTTATATCGATGTTATCTGAATTTGATTGACTATCTGTGATTGGTTCTTTTTTCTAACTACTCCCACCCCACCCCCTCCACCCCGTCATGACAATTTTGATTTTGGTAATACGTCACACGTAACATAATAAAGAGATTGGTAAGTTGTCCTCCTAATCTGATAAAACGTAATTGAAAGAAAGATGTTTGCAGTTGAGATCATCTTAGAAAAGATTCTTTAGTGTTTTTGATCTCCACAAACAAACGTTCCCACACTTGGAAGCCCTGGAAAGCTTTGGCCTGATGATGTTTCAAGCATAGAGAAAATTTCAAGGATATCATCTCTCCCAATAACTATCGTTCTGATTTTTAACTGAACATAATTTAGTTTGAGACGGCGGAAACGATGTCTTCAATGTCTTCGTAGTTATTTTAAGTCATCCACTCATCTCGCGTGTTCTCGCGCAGTTGCGCGTGTAGCGAGACATTTGTGTGTACCATTCAACATGGCGCCACAATTGGAGGATTTGAATGAAAATCAAGAATCAACTTTTTCTGAGCTCATTTTGATGCCAAACTGGAAGCCATAGTGGTGTCTCAAGTTTTAATTGAACAATTCAGCTTTCTTGAGCGGAGCTTGGATGGGAAAAGATGCTACATTTACTTTAAAACACCTAAAAAGAGACCACGTGTGGGACTTGGCTGTAATCAGATCAACTACAGGTAAGGATTAGACCTTAGAAACTGCTTGATAAACGCAAAAAATTTTATGTATTTCTGTCTCATGTTAATATTAGTAGCAAATTAACCTCTTGGAATGATCAGATTATCCCAGCATTGCCATAAGCACCGTTGTAATTGCGACAGTGTTGAGCGGGAAATTCAAATATTTATCACTTGTCTTACGTGAGTGTGTAGGAAGGCGCAGTATTGTTTGTAAAAACACTCTTTAGGGGCAAGTCGCTTGTGAGGAAGGCTTTTTACCGTGTTTAGCATACGCAGGTCAAAATATGATAATTAATTTCATTTTTAGGGGCACAACCAAATCTCACTCGACATGTCAACGAATTTCAAGACATGTCCACAGCATGTTAGCCTCACAGCTGCTGTCTCAAGCTTGACATTAAGGCTTTGGCTGATTATTGGTTTAGATTCAGTAGGATATCTTTTGAAAATCAGCGGGCTTGCATTATTGATTAATTCTGAGGTGTTTTGGCTAGCTTGTCGCGGGAAAGTGTTTTACCCTCAACTAGAATTTCATGTTTAGAAGCCTTTGAAGTATGTCAGGATATTTATTCATAGCCCAATCATCTATGAATTACGTAATCCCTATAAAAGAGGAAGTACTCCCCCTCAACTGTACTTTAATGGACTTTTCTACCTAATACAGTTGTGATCTTGGGACTCCTGCCTGATGTCACAAGGGGTATCCTTTTAAAAATGTTATCCTTTTTAAAGGTGTTTGCATAAATGGGGTTTATCTCGTTAAAAATCTAAGGTGTGAAGTTTTTATTGGTATAAGAAATTGTTCATAAAGAATTTTCCCACAAAATGAACTGTTGCACATCTCGTGAGGGGTACTTATTATTGAATAGAGGGGGTAAGTTTCTAAAGAAATTGTGGTGCTGCATTGGTGGGAGAGTATAACAGGGTAATTTAGTGTTATCAACTGAGCTGAAAATGTAAATCGGCCCCTTCAAAGATGATAATTGTAAATTGGCCACCAATGTTTTGAGCATTAGCCCTTGGCCTATTGTATAGCAGTCATGTAATGTTCAGATTGGAAATTTGTTGTACCTTATTACGTATCCTGTTAAGACAAGCCTTAGAGGGTAACCTAGCTGTAAACAAGCTGTAGTACATGGGCTAATATAAGCCAAACTGACAGCCAGGTTGTCTATCATCTGAAGCTTTCTACTCAAACCATTGCACCATAATTAGTACTGATGAAAATTGTGTTGAAATACCCTTGAAGAGATTTTTATCAGAGCTGTTTCCTAGTTTTGAGTGAATAGCATGCACAATGTAATGGTAACAGGTTTAGATGTATGAATTGATTCAGATTTGCTAAAAAATTGGTATAAACTTCGTAGAATGCCTGGGACTTTTCATCTAGATAGTACTTAGTTTTACAGATAGTCTGATGAAACAATATGGAATCCCCAACAACCTGGTTGCCTACTTTTTCTTGTTGGCCCTCTTATTTCAGACTCATTATCAGCCTTAGGCAATATTTTAGGAATTAACGTCAATTTCCACCTTAGGATTGAAAAAGGTCCTCTTTTACCTCTAGCTTTTTTTAATTTTGGTATGCAGCTAATCTCAATAAGATAATTATTGTTATGAGTAAAATAAAAGTATCTTTATGTCCAACAATGACTTCATACAGGAGATGGGTGATTGATAGCTGCACAAGGAAGTCAGTTTCACCCACAAATCCTTTCCTTTCTCTTAATTAATCTGTGATGCAAAGCTTGTTCAAATGAAAAAAGAGTATTGGAAAAGCTGTTTTGGCTGCTAGACTGTCTCCATGCACTAAACAGAGAGTGGATATTGCACAAAAGATGGGTGACAAGGAGCTGATCACCCAACAGATCAATTGTTTAGTCTTAATCTGTGAAGCAAAGACTTGGTCCTTAAAAAAAAAAGGAAATGCAGTGAGTGTGTTGAGTATTTTGGCCACTGGACTGTCTTAATGTGTTGAACAGAGAGTGGACTTTGTACAAGAGATGATTGACTGAGAGTTGACCCACAAAGGTGTCAGTTTCACTCAACACATCTCATCCTTAGTCTTAATCTGTGATGCAAAGACTTGGTCCCAAAAAAAAAAAGGAAAAGAAAATGCAGCTAGTGTGTTGAGTATTTTGGCCACTGGGCTGTCTTAATGTGTGGAAGAGAAAGTGGACTTTGTATAAGAGATAGGGGACTAATAGTTGATGATCAACAAAAAGAGTTAGTTTCACCAAACAAATCTCTTCCTCAGCCTTCATCTGTGAAGCAAAGACTTGGTCCCAAAAAAAAGGAAAAGGAAATGCAGTTAGTGTGTTGGGTATTTCAGTCACTGGACTGTCTTTATGCATTGAACAGAGAGTGCACTTTGTTCAAGAGATGATTGACTGAAAGTTGACCCACAAAGGTGTCAGTTTCACTCGACACATATCATCCTTAGTCTTAATCTGTGACACAAAGACTTGGTCCCAAAAAAATAGGATAAGGAAATGCAGTGAGTATGTGGAGTATTTTGGCCACTGGACTGTCTTAATGTGTTGAACAGAGAGTGGACTTTGTACAAGAGTTAGGGAACTAATAGCTGATCATCAACAAAAGGAGTCAGTTTCACCCAACAAATCTCTTCCTTAGTCTTCATCTGTGAAGCAAAGACTTGGTCCCAAAAAAAAAAGGAAAAGGAAATGCAGTGAGTGTTGAGTATTTCGGTCACTGGTCTGTCCTTATGTGTTGAACAGAGTGTGGACTTCGTACAAGAGATGGTGTACTGAGAGCTGATCCACAAAGGAGTCAGTTTCATCTAACAAATCTCTCCCTTAGTCTTAATTTGTGATGCAAAGACTTGATCCCACACAAAAAGGAAAAGTAAAAGCTGTTTTGGCCACTGAATTGTCTTTCAATGCTCTGCATGAACACTGTGTCGGGAGGTGAGAGTGGATCTTAGACAAGTGATAGGTGGATAAGACTCAGGATCTAGGAGATCCTTTAAACAGGTTTTTCAAACTTGGAGCTTAAAAAATGAAGACTTAAAGGTTCATTTTATAGTTACTGTGACTCAGCTCCTACTAGACAAATAACTCTCACCTATATTTCTTGTGAAAATCTTGTCCTTTCTTAAAGATACCTGGAACTCCCAGGATTGCCATTTATCATGTTGTTTGACTAACAGCTTCTTTACATTTTTGTTACATTGCAGAACTTGAACACGGTTGGTGTTTTGGAATGCGACGTAATGCAAGTAAGCAGCCATTTTTGTTATCGTGAAAAAGCTTCTTTCAGCTCATTTGGAGGATCTGAATGGTAAGAGGCAATCAGTTTTTCTCAGGAGAAAACAAACCAGCAAGAACAGTTGTTGGGACATCCAAGAGATGTTAATGGGATGAAGGCACTAGAGTAACAGCTCCGCATAATGCAAGTACAAGCTTGGTATAGGTCCCAGTAGTATCTTTAGACTTACAGATCTAAAGATACATCCATCTCTTTGCAGTCAACTTAGACATGTAAGTCTCTGTGGCCGTCTCCAGTTTTAAGTCAGAGTAAC